AAACAGCCCCCTTCGGCCCACTTCACCCCCCACTCAACTCCCGGACACCACGGCCCAACACCCAAACCCGGCACCCAACACTCACCCTATGCAAACCCGCTCCAAAGCCGGTGTCTTCTGCCCTAAACAAATCCTTAATCTTAACACTTCCGTTCCCATTTCCCCATTACCCCCAACCTACCGTAGTGCACTAAAAGATCCTAACTGGCATGCTGCTATGTGTGATGAATATAATGTCTTGATAAAGAATGACACATGGGAATTAGTACCCCCCTCCCCCTCACAAAACCTTATCATCGGTAAGTGGCTTTTTCGACATAAATTTGGCCCAACAGGTGAGTTATCCAGGTATAAGGCCCGCTGGGTGGTTCGCGGTTTCAACCAACGTTTTGGTGTTGACTATGACGAGACTTTCAGCCCCGTTGTCAAGCCCGCCACTGTTCGTCTCGTCCTCAGCATCGCTCTATCTCGAGGATGGCCCATTCATCAGCTTGATGTCAAAAATGCATTTCTTCATGGCCAGCTGCAGGAGACCGTCTATGCTAGCCAGCCTTGTGGGTTCCAGGATCCCACTCGCCCTCACTATGTTTGCAAACTCAAGAAGGCTCTATATGGTCTCAAGCAAGCGCCACGCTCTTGGTTTCACAGATTTGCAGGTTTCATACAGACCATTGGGTTCAGAGGATGCAAGGCCGACACATCCCTATTTGTCTTCTCTGAGCCCGTGGGCACGGCCTACTTATTGCTCTATGTTGACGACATCGTTCTCACCGCATCCTCCCCAGCATTACTACAGAGTCTCATACAGCAGCTTAAGGCTGAATTCGCCATGACCGATATGGGTGATCTGCACTTTTTCCTTGGGATCAATGTTCACCGCACAGCTTCTGGCCTTTTCCTCCACCAGACTCAGTTTGCTCACGACATCCTTGAGAGGGCAGGGATGATTTCCTGTCGACCTATATCGACCCCGGTGGATACAAAGGCGAAGCTGTCTGCGTCTGCTGGCACAGCACTCTCTGACCCCTCTCTTTACTGGTCCATCGTTGGTGCGCTGCAGTATCTCACCTTCACTCGCCCTGACATCACTTATGCAGTCCAGCAGCTCTGCCTACATCTCCATGCTCCGCGTGATGCCCACCTTACAGCCATGAAGCGTGTTCTTCGTTATCTCAGTGGTACTGCCACTCATGGCATTTACTTGACACGATCTGCCACCGACTACTTACAGGCTTATTCTGACGCTGATTGGGCAGGCTGTCCTGATACGCGGCGTTCCACATCGGGCTACTGTGTTTTCCTAGGCGACAATCTTGTTTCATGGTCGTCTAAACGCCAGGCCACCACTTCTCGCTCCAGCGCCGAGGCTGTATACCGAGCTGTAGCAAATGCTGTTGCAGAGACCAGCTGGATCCGAAATCTTCTCCTTGAGCTCCAACAGCCACTCCGTCGTGTGACAATTGTCTTTTGTGATAATGTTAGTGCAGTATACCTTTCGTCAAACCCGGTACAGCATCAACGCACCAAGCACGTTGAAGTTGACATACACTTTGTGCGTGATAAGGTGGCGCTCGGTTAGATCAAAGTCCTGCATGTTCCGTCATCTTCTCAGTTTGCTGATATCTTCACAAAGGGACTGCCCTCACTCTTATTTCTTGACTTCAGAGAAAGCCTGGGTATCCGACCCCCATCACTGCCGACGTAGCCGGGAGAATGTTAAACATATATATAATATATTTAATATTATTGTATTATTATTGTTACCATGTTTGTATAGGTTTCCTATTTGTATAGGTTTCCTAGATGGCCTCTCCTACCATAATTAGGATTGAGACTTTTGTATATATACATGTACTCTCCTCACAAATTATTCAATGAAAATAATCCTTCTTCAGAACCATCTTTTTATACTTCGGGTGTACCAAATGAGATCCTAAATTGTACTGAAGTTAAAACGAAAAGTTTCAACTGGCACGTATTTTAATGTAAAGTAAATTACTTATATGGTTTTATATGCACACACACACATACATACACACACACACAATCCTGAGGTCGGATCCTCAAAGAAAAGATCCTCCGTCAACGCTGAGGTTGAGGTCGATAACACTATCGGTTCGTCCGAACAAAGGCCTCCCTTCAACGTAGACAGCGTTACCACACCAATTTTGGCTGTGGTAAGCCGGAGAACATCAGCGTCGTTCGTCTCGCTCTTTAGAGACCGAGAGCATTCCTCGTAAACTTCGAAAAATTTTAAGACTTTACAGTTCATTGTTGAAACACGGGTTTATCACCTTTTCGTACTAAAGCCGGGTTTGTTCCTATGACAGGTTTTGATAATGCCAAACCGCCGTGATCAAGACAAACATTGAATATACAAGGCGAGGAATGAAGATAATGAACAAGAGCTAAAAGAGACCAAGAACGAAGACCGCAGTCTTTAGTATTGTTGAGTCGGTCATAATTGTAATCAAGACCGACCAACCCTCACGCATTGGCTCTTTAGGCTAAAACCTTTTACTGCATTTCTTACATTATAAAAATGTTTTTCAAACTTGTTTAAGTCATTAAAAACACTTGGTGTTCGCCCAAACCAAAAACCAAGCCATCCAGCGTTCGGGTTTCAGAAACCGGCGTTCGGCTCTCGGTTATCGGCTATGGTTTTTGGCGTCCGGACCAACCGAGTGGTTTTCAACTTTTTATGATTTTTTTTCACTCTTTGGAATGTTTAAACGGTTCTCCAACAAAAACACTTCGAAAACCATCTTTCGCTTTTGGTCGTTTGACAAAAATCATTCAAAACG